TTTGGAAAAAACTCCGGAACCTTCCGGAACTGCCCCGAACCACCCTGGAGCCTATTTAGGGCCTATCAACCCCATAGCTTCCAGCTGTTGGGGAAAAAAAAACAAAACGACATCCGGCCAAGACGCCTTCTCCTTTTACTACGGAGCTTGAGAGTGTTTCCATGCTTACATGCTGCCATGTCGAGCCGAAAAGGACTCCCAAAACCCGGAAAAGGACATGGGAAGGGACTTGAGCCTATGCGCCTATGCGTTGCCAGGGCCCTCATGTAGCAAAGATCTTCACTCTTGTCCACATGCTCTAGGTGGGTGGGTGGTTGGGTGGGTGGGCGGGCGGCCGGGCGGGTGGGTGGATGCTGTCGATTTTTATACCCTGCGGGTTCCTTGCCCCAATTAAAACAATGACCCAAGCGGACCCAAGCCGGATCATTACAATCTGAAGGGTAAACAAGGGTGGTTGTATGACCCTGCCTAGGTGGGCGGGGTGGGTTGTCGATTTTACCCAGCAGGTTCCTTGCCCCGATTAAAGCAATCATGACCCCTGGACACGGGTTTATCTCAAAATTGGGGACGGCATCGTTTCCCCAACAAAAGGCTACCCTCAAAAAACAATGCCGCCATTGTTCACAAGAAGCATCAGTGAATTCAGGCACCAACCTTCTGCCGCACTCACTGCCGCATGTTCTGAACTGGGGCCCACACCGATTGACGTCGAATCAAACGTTCAACGTGATCAGCCTGTTATATAGCTGTTAACCGTAAACGGCTAAAGGAAAACAAATTTTCCGAATGCTTCTTCGACAAATAAAGGCAACTTCCTATAAGTCCTAACCCGAACATAAGTTGAGGGAATGCCCTGTAAAGACCTTCATGTGTGAGCCCCCTCCCTGCCTCTCTGGCGACAAATGGTTGGTCTCCTTGTGGTGTCCCTCTAAACCAACAAGAGAAGGAACCTGGCTAGGTCCTCCAGTAGAGAGGTTAGAGTAAGGGTACCATCTTTTTCTGTAGTCTAAGAAATGGGGAACCCTCCCCAAAAAAGGGCAAAAGACCTAGCTGGATGACTCCATCCCGCGCCTTCTCGCGCTCAGACAGGCTGCTCTCGGCATCCGTCATCCTCGGCCGAGTGGGGCATGAACTCTCCGAATTCTGAAATTCGACCCCCAGATTCTATGGGAAAAAAGGAACTCGAATTTTGGTTATTATAGTATTGATTTGAAAATAACCAATTTTCAAATGGTATTTTGAGGGTCCGGGTAGGCCTACTGAAGTGGCCCATTCCTATGATTACTCCGAGGGGATGCCCTTGGTATCACAGCAAGTTGCCCGAAAGCACAACTTTCCACAACCTCGAAACTGGGTGCGAAATAGCTCGAGACAAAATGGACACAAATGACCCCTCCCTTTTGGTTTACCTGTGAGTAAATTAAGACTTCCGGGCCATTGATCGCACCTAGTTGAACGTATCTCAACACGGTCAGCCCCTTTTGGTTTTGAAAGGGAAGCCAAAAGGAATCATTTTTCTGCGGGTTGATTCCCCAATCTTTCCAACCATAGTTTTTTTTAAAACCAGCCGTTTCTTCGGGTCTCTGGAGGTTTTTTAGAAAGCAGGATCCCTGGAAAGAATGGGAAAGGTACCCCTAGAGTTTGCAGAGGCCCACCTGCGAAAGTGTCAAAATTGGGTACCCCCCAAACAAAGTGTTCGGTTTACCTTTTGGTGTCCCTTTAAAGCGATCCAACAGGGGCCACGGAATTTCCCGAAATCAAAAGTTGAAGCTCCAAAATCCCACGTCGGCTCCTGCTTGGTTTCTCCACCCAAAGACTCGTGGTTGTGTTTAGGGGTTTAGGGTTTAGGGTTCAGGTCTGGAAATTTGAACTCAAAAACGGCGAAACCAGGACCACTTTTGTTGCTGGCGCGATAGGCAGGGAATGAGAAATGGAATGGCCCAATGATAAACCATCCAACTGCTGGTTTCCTTTAACCCTGGGGTTCAAACCTACCAAAGCAATGGGGGTTCATATATAACCTTAATTGCTTGCCGTTCAGGATTGTCCTCATCCAAATTGGGCCCAAGACGATTCCATTGATGGGGACGGGTTCCTAGGGTTAGTCGGAAATCTCCTTGCGGTTCGTTCTAAGCCATCCAACAACTGGTGGTGTCCTTTATTCGGTAATCCTCATGGAAGGACACCTTTTGAAACATCCAACTGGTGGTTTCCTTTAAGGGGACCAAAGCCTGGGTTCATTCCATTTCTCATTCCCCACTGAGCACCCATCTCTTGCAGTTTCCTTCTAAGTCCTAACAGTAGAGAGGTTAGAATAAGGGTACCCTTTTTTGTGTAGTCTATTTTAGTAGGGGAACCCTCCCCAAAAAAAGGGTAAAAGGGCACTACTGGGGACCCAGCCTTTAAGGGAATCCCCTTCGTGCTCACTTCCCAGCTTCCCGCTCGCAAGAACCGAACCGAGTTGAGCGGCGCAGTGACCTGCCGCGGCCATGCCCGCGGCTCGTGTGACACGGAGCGAGCTTCCGCACGCGCCTCAAGCGACCGTGCGACCAATGCAGACACGAAGCGCCCTACGCTTCGATAAGGTCTCACCCATCGAGATAAAACGGGCTAACCCGTCATGAAGCTCCTTTACTAGAGGACCCCTGAATTCTGGATAAGATAATGCCACGGGGCATGTGTTGAGACCCCGAAGACGCAAACTAAGACCAGGGTTCTGCATACCAAGACCACCGATCGGATTCTTGGAGTGAGATGAATCCTTTCGAATCGGTTTTCCGCGCTGCACAATATGGATCTGCGGTATTTTTGTTGGTGGGTACCCCCTTTTTGGTGGGTTTTGAAGGGACACCAAAAGGCACACCGCCAACTTGGGGGGGGTGGTGGGGTTGGGGGTTTAAAGGGAAACCCAAGGACCCACCATGCTTGGGACCTTAAAACCGCAAACGCCGCACTTGCAGGTTTACTTTGCCTTCGACCCCCAAAAATGTGTACCGTGAAAAGGGGCACCAAGCCTCAAAAAGAATCCTTCCTTCCCATCGACGCTGGTTCTCAGCAGGGAATCAGCCATATTGCTGGAATGAACCAACGAATTCCCTAAAAGGGGATGCTTCATAGGATTAATTCCCTCATTCCCTGCTGAGAACAAGCTAGCAAATTGGCCCCACCTCCAAAAGGGACAATCATACTGGGGGGTCACCCCAAACTTTTCCTGAAGGGCCCAGAGATGCCCTGGGACGAAACATGGACCAAAACGAGGTCAGATCAGGTCGATGCGCTCTGCAAGTGAGCAGTGGCCTGGACTATCTAACCATAGAAATGGGCTACTTCCACGTGCTTAAGCCTTGAGCCCCCTGGAAGCAAAGCACATTTCCAGTAGAGTCCCCTTCAAACCAAGGGAACATAAAAGATAGCATTCAGCAAATGCAAGAAATGTGCAAAGCCGAGCTATCAATGATTACCGGAGTAAACTGTTCATTAATTCTGCCCCAGAACCAGTGACCAGGTTTCAATTGAGGTGCCCCCAAGAAATAACCAAAACATGACGTGGAACATGGCGCCCAATTTGCCACCAGCGCCCGTGGTAGATTAAATCAAAGGTATCCCCGTTTTGGGCGGTTGCTTCCATTTTTGTGGAGCAGCTACCGAAGGGATTTGGAGAATGCAAAACCAAGGGGGGTGCTAACTTCGGATTCCAAGCAAAGAACCTTACTCGTGGTGAGCTCGTTATACCCCCGAATCGGTGAGGTCGCCATAAAACAAGCACCGCACCCAAATGGACAGTAGATTTGTAAGAACTTGCGATCGTCAGCTTCCATGACTCGTCAATCGAGGGTAACATGTCTTACTCTTGGTTGACGTCGGAAGGGGAGCAAGCATTTATTTTTTAGCAGTTGAGTTGAATTTCCCAAAACCACAAGCAAAAACGTAAAATGTTTCCTGTACCGGTGTACAGCAGGGAACAAGAAATGGAATGACCCGTCTATAAACCATCCCTTGCTGGTTGCCTTTCAATCAAGGGGACCAACGCCTGGATCTTCCATCGAGGGCAAAGCCTCAGGCGGGCCCGCGTGATCGGTGTTCACCTGGCACTCCGACGGCTGTCGGAATGGTATCCTGGTAGGTCAAACCGGGACAATATGGCCATGGGTCAAAATCCAAATCGTACCCCCAGTACCCCAATCCCCACTAGACTAAAATGGGTGGTGCACCTACCCCAAAATGGTACCATTGGTTTTGACCCACAGCCATATGGTATCCTCAGAAAAAAGGGCGGGTATCACCCTGTCGTCACTACTTGACAGTTCCGCAAAGAATCGTGTGGTTAGTTTTGCCCCCCGTTCAAACCTTTGTTACTAGGATTGCGCATTTAGCTAAACCCCAGACCTACGTGCCAGGAGCAGGAAGGCGGGGTCCCTCCATTTGTCTAGTCTTTCAGACATGTCCACATACCTCGAATCTTCAGACCAACGATCGTGCAGACCAACGATCCTGCAGATCAATCCTTCATGAGTATTTTACCGAGCTGACTTCAAAGTTCCCCAAGAATGGGCCTTGATCATGGGCAAAGCCCGCACCCCCCCTTTCTCAGAAAACGGTTTGGATGCGGCGAATCTGTGGATCCACCCCTATAGAATATATACAAAGTACTAAACGATTGCTAAAAAGGGACCATACGGAGGAATATCTGGTGAAATCACACCTTTGGTTGATAGAAGTTTTGCGTCAAACCAATTACAACACACATTCTTGCTGGTGCACCTGAATGAATAAAGTTTAAGTCTCCCACAACCCCGCTCTACTCTGCAAGTCAATAACATGGAGCCCAAAAACGCTCCCTTTACTTGGGCTACATCTGGGGCACACGGAATATTAGTCAAACTAAAGTATAGCTTCCCTCCAATTGGTGGTTTGGAGCCCGGTGGTTTGGTGGTGAAATGGAGGGGTTTCCCATCCACCCAAACCACCAATCCAAACCACCAACTAAGGGATCGAGACTTTTGGATGAGAGCAAGTTCAGCGAATGCGATTTTTGGGACTCCATGTCAATGAGATGCCGAGTGGATTCCATGACAAAAAGCGGACAATTATTTTTAGGTTGCTTAAGTTAAAATGGGGAACCCATTGCCTCCAACAAAATACCAAACAAAACAAGAGGGCGGAATTCACTGGGCACCTGGGCTTCTCCGGGAAAGGGGCCACATCCCACAGTTTCGGCGCACCTGCAACTGCCAGTCTCTTGCCTCAGCCTGACGAGATCCGTCAAATGCTCGGGCCCCCCGATTGCCCAAAAGATTGGTGGCCGTATCGACCCCTCTGCAAGAAAAATACAACATGTGTTCAACTTCTTGTGGGTTCAATCCTGAAAGCCAACTTAAATAGCAATTCGCCAAAACTGGGGAGGATGCCCTATTTGAGTAGTCTTGGACATTCGCAGGGCCAGACAAACCGGCATGCCGGGGTTTAGTGCAAGGGGTTGATCCCTCGTCAATTCTTTTAAACCATCGTTCTTCTCAAAAACCGATCGCTTTTTCCCATGGCGGTTTCCTGAAAAGATTCGGATCCCTGGAAAGAATGGGGAAGGTAGCCCTAGGAAAAAGTCATTGTTGCTCATCCTCATCTGCCCAAAGGCTGTGTAACGACCCCTCTGCAAAACTTCTTCAACTTCTTGTGGGTCTAAGGGGGAACACACCAAGTTGATTTCCACCAAAAAGTTCAAGTCTACGAGTAAGCATCAGTTGGCATACCCAACTAACAGGGGTTCCGTTAGCACATACGATATGTTCCAGATGGGCCACAAATCCGCACGAGACCAAAAGGCTCCGGACGGATCATATCTTTTTGGTTGTTCACCCAAAGGCTCCTGACTGCGCAGAACTTGCCTTTTGCGAGCATTTCCTGCTTGGGTGTCCTGAAGTGAAGAGTCTGCTCCCAGCTGGGTCGGTGAAAAGCCAAACTGTTCTTGGCGGAATTGGGATTCCTGCCGCCTGCCGTGCGCGCACTTCCACATTTGAATGGGCCAATTCTGTGAGTGGGGAACTAGAACTCAACGAATAAACAAATCCTGTTGGTCTTGGACACCTTTCTCTTGTGTTTCTTGTGGAAGGTTTTCTTCCACAGGAAACCAACTCAACAGAGCCTGTTAGTTTTGAAGCCTTGTTTGTTGCTAAGAGGAGAGCCACATGGACCAAACCTCTGAGTTGAACAGTTGCTTGAGTTTCCGGAATCCAAATGGACAAATCCTGGTGTTGAACGCCTTTGGCGGGTGTTCGTTTTGACCCCTGGTGCTCAGGGGCAACTGAATTCGCCGACTGGGCTCCAAACATGGCGGCGCTTACTGGAGATACAATTCCCAGGGAGTGCCAGCCTTTGGAGTCCGAAAAAAAAATATCGGCGAAACGCCTGGGAACCCCAAGGGTTCTCCATGGCAAAATGCGCCTCTTGAGACCCAAGCGCTCGAGTCGGGTGCGGGGAAATCTGGGTCCAAAGACCAAAAGACCCTGAACTCCATTTGCAAATACCCGGGACACTGAAAAGAATGAGAAACTACTTCCAGTAGTGAAATTGATTCCCTTTTGAACCAGCAAGGAAAAATCAAAACATTTTTCAGAAAATGGCAGCTTAGGGTGGTTTTGCGAGCCCCCCCTCCACATTTAGAAAGCACCCGTCTCAATCACACCTGGAGACTCTTCGCCAAATTTTGGAGACCATCCACCTACAAGGGTCCAACTGTTGGTCCCTGTTGCCAGGTTTTCGGTGCCGGGCTATGAAGGGTCAACTACAAACCGAGCTCCGACTCCGGACTGCTGCCCGCCTGCTCCGTCTCATCCTTCTCTGGCGGTAACTGCGGCCACGCTCAAGGGATCCAAGCAAGCCACCAGAGGCTTGCGCAGCTCGATTTGCTGTCGCCAAATTTGAGTCAGAACTGCTATTTGCTTAAGCCCCCCTGGAAAAAACAAATATTTCCAGTAGTGATAGAAAACCAACAGGGGAGGACAAAAAGAAAAGAAAGAAAAAACCATCTTAAGCAAATGGAAGATAATCAAAACCGATGGGTCTTAAAATGGACCCAGAACCAAGTGAAGAACGAAGAAACAGGGCGAGGGCACCCTGTTCTGTTGCGAGTATGCCGTACGATTCTTCATCCACCCGAACCGGTTCTGCGGATGTGGCTCAAACGGTCCCGGAAGCGAAAGGTTCACCTTCGGAGCTCTTCCCGACGAGTGGTGGCCTCACTCTTATAAGGATCCAAGCTCGGCTCCCCCCAAGAAAAAAACATCGAAGGAACCAAAACCCAATCTCAAGTTTGCTTTCTGTCCCGTTCCAGCCTCCCATGATTCCACCCGCCTATTTCACAGTTCCAGCACTCTGTTTCAGACCCATTGTGTCGCCTTTTTTGTGGTCCGGAAACTACCGGCCAGTTGCCAACATAGCAGGTAACCAAGCTGGTTGCCAACTACACTGGTAACCGGAAGCACTGGCCTTGACTAAACATGAACCAAAACTAAACTATATCGGTCCGTTTTGAGGATAAGAACGAATCTGTTCCACACCTCCAATAAGTTGCTTGCCATGCTGAAAAAACACAACTGCATCTTTCGCCATGGCCATTTTCGCAAAGGCTTTGCTGTTGGAGAGGATCCGGATCTGAGATCCGTTCGGATGGCACATCGGTAACCGATGGCTGCAAAGCCTTGAAATGGATAAGGCCGAAATTGTTTCAAGGGCTTACCTAGCTTCAACAACATAAACACCCATGACTCATGGACAACCTCAGCTCACACAAATCCAGGTGTGGAACCAACAGATGTGTCTGACCATGAGCAAACTACTAAGTAGCTGAGGTCGCAAAAGTGCAACCACAGCTATCAAACGAAATGTTCAATGGATACTACATACAGGCTGACAAACACATCGGGCATTCCGTTTTCTGATTCCCCGGCAAGAGTCGAACTTGTGGGTTGAATACGGAAACCCAACCACTTTAAGCCAACTAAAAGACCACTTAACCAGCTTCCGAAGCCAAAGTAGCCACAGGCCTGTGGCATTTAAGTGAAGCTATCCTCGGAAACCAAAATCCGAATCCCCCGCTTTGACACCACATGGGAGTGGACCACAAAAACCCGGCGTGGCAGTTGAATCAGAAACCAGGGATTCTTAGGTGGTGAGAAACCATAACATTCGGTATTTACGTCGGGGATCTCTGAACGGTGAAGGATTTCGTCCATCCAAAGTTCGGACAAAATCATCAAATCAAAAAAAACAACAACTGGCTATGGCAACATGGAACATTTCACAATGGCACCTTGCATGGGAAGATGGCTTAATCTTCAGCACGCAGGTATCGCCAAGGCCAAACCCTTGAGACTAAAACCTGCGTAGCAGCGCAACTTTGAGTGGCCAGGAACCTGACTCTCAGGTTGGATCCGACGATCATCCCCCTTTGGCGCAGCCCAGATTCTTTCATTTTAGATCTCGCCGCGGAATTGTACGCAAAAAACGCTCTCCTGCTTTTTGCATGCAACCCGATCTGTCTCTCAGACCTCAATTCTCTCATTCAGTGCAGGAACTGCAGGAACTGAATGCATCCGACCAAGCCAACAAGGCCACAGCTCATGCTCAAGGCGCTTGACTTTTCCTCAGCCTTCGGCACTTCTTTGAGGCGTCCCCAGACCAAAGTGCTGCGCCTCCCGGCCCATTTGCCACTGGTGCTGCAGTCCTCCGGGTCGCCGCCGCCGCAGAATTCTTTGTCGAGGCCCAAGCCGCAACTGACGTCATTTATGTTGCTGGCGCCATTGTTGTGCGACGCCGCCGGGCAGCCCTCGCCATCCGAGGCTTGCATGCAGAAGACGCACTCCTGGGATCGCTCCGATCCCTGCAAGAGTTTTTCACGTTTTTGGGTGGGAGAAATGCACCCCCCCCCACGAAACCAACGAATGAAAAACCACCGAACCCTGAAGGAACCAGTTAAATGCACTCCACCCCCCACAAAACTCCATCAATGAAAAACCAAGCACCGAAGGAACCGGACGGACACCCCGGAACCGGGAAGCGCCAAGACTCGCGGCCGCAGCCGGCGGGTTTGGCATCCGGGTTGGTGCGGCACTGCGGCTTGGGACTTTTCACGAACTTCCCCGCGCGCATGAAGGCCGGCGCCCGGTCGCGAGCATCCCCGAAGGCATTCTCCCACTTCACCCAGTAGGCCTGCTTCCATTTGGCTAAGACCCCTGGAAAAAGAAGAAGAAACAAAACAGTAGTGATAGAATCCCTTTCTAAAACCAAGAAGGGGACATAAAGAACATATTCTTCAGCAAATGGAAGCCTTCGAGTTGAAGCCGCCGGTGGGAAGGATGTCCACCTGGTTGGTGGTCATCAAAGTCTCTGCGGTGTCCCCTTGCTTGAAGTGCACCTCCGGTGCGTCCTGAAGCCAGAGGGCCAGAGGGCCAGAGGGACCCGGGTCCCAAATGGATCGGCAAAGAGCAATGGATCGATGAAACAATCGGTGAATTGGATGGCCAAGCGGAGGCAATATCATGCGACAGTGGGGAGAGGAGCTGCAAGGTCGCCGGCAATCAAGTGGGGAGACAAGCCGGTGAGGAGGATCGAGTGCGGGGGGACAAGTCGAGAGATAAGTGGAGGGGTCAGCAAGCACAAGAAGGGAGACAAGTGGGGAGACAAGTGGGGAGACAAGTGGGGGGACAAGCCATGACAAGGTCCAAGTGAGCAAGCACAAGCAGGGAGACATGGTTGGAAACAAGTGGGGGAAACAAGAGGAGACACGTGGGGCGACAAGTGCACAAAACGAGCCGTGACGGCAAGCCATTTTGTGCTTGGGAGTACTTCCTTGCATGAACGCAGAACCCAACAGCTAAGCTGTTAACGCCAGTGGCTCAAACTGCAAGAGCAAACAATGGTATTGGCCCGAGCTTTTTGAGCGTCACAGTTTTCCTCCTCACTTGTGCAGCCTTTCATCCACGTCAACTCTACAGCAAGATTGGAATCTTCAGAACAGGAGGCTGCTCCAGGAGAAGGTTCTGTTCAAGAAAACACCGTTCCAATCGAAACGAAATCGTGTTGTTTGGGGATCTTGGGACCGCTGTTTGCCGGAGTACTATCAGAACAAATGTAGTTTTCAGGAGAAGCTGCGACTCACAAACTATTCATACATGTTTTGCGCAAACGCCATAAGCATCTCATTACATGTCGTAACCTTTCTGACTGGTGCTTTTCCTCACGCCGCCAATAGCAGCGCTGAGCGAAACGCCGTTTGGTGCCTTGCGGGGGGTTCGGCGGGGGGGGGGGGGTGAGGCCGGTGCCTATCCGTGGAGGGAACTGGTACCCTGTGGTAGTAGAGGTCGTATTGTTGGTCCCTGGATCTGTTCCGGAGAGAATCCAATATGCCACTATGGATGATTGGAGGATGCGTTGTCCCTGCTGCATTGTCTATTGCATAATCCTGTAAGCGGCCTGCAAAGGTTCTTTTGCCTCACGCGTCCATGTATGGTACTATGAATTGCAAAAGGGGCCTTGAGCCAAATGGTTGCGGGAGATCAACTGGTCTGAGAAACAACCACAAAAACAGACACAAATTTCTTTTGATCTCCAGCACTAAGTATGAATACTATTGGCTTCATGGCCTTTGGCCGTAGCCTTGATGTATGCCGTAGCCATGCTGTATGCCGTAGCCATGTGTATTAAAAATGCCGGATTCATCCTCTTTTCTGATCGGAAACACTATGTGCTGCTTCTTTTTGCGATACCTAGATGTATCAAAAGGTGATGTACAACGCTATGTACACGCGGGACGATTGTGAAACTATTGATCTCTCACTCATGGTATAGTCTTGTAGACGGCGAGGATCAATCATCTGAATTGAGTTCGTGGTGCTGAACGTATGAATTTTCATGGTCAGTCGGATCGACGATACCATCGGCGGCTGCTGTCGGATTGACTGCCATAATCTCCATACTCATTCCAGGTCGAGGCGCCATAGTCCTTCCACTGCTTCTGATGTCCCCACTGCTTGTTGTAGTCCTTGTACTCCTGCGGGGTCCAGGAGGCTTGTTTCTTCTTGATGTACTCCTGGTATCTCTCAGAGCTGCGTTGCTTGGTTGCAGACTTGCTGCGGATGTAAACCATGAGGGGACTGTGCGAGTCGGAGTCCTGCGAGCCATTCATGAACATGTCATTGCTCACGTGCTTGTAGCGCTCTGCGGATGAGACCTGACAATCGAATATGGCCTTGGTTGGATCGTTCCGCATGAGTTCCAGTTGTTCATCTTCCATGCCGTTCATCTCTTCCTTCCGGAAAGCCTGCTGGATGTTCGTTTTGCCCCATCCAAATACGAAAGTCATCATCACATCTGGGAATGTTCGATCATACCCTGATCCACACTTCATGTACAGGTGATGACGGACAATGGATTTCAGGGTGCACGAAGACTCCATTGCGTACTCCATTCTGTCCACGAGTGGCAAATTCTTCGTTTCATTCCACAGTCTCTGATATGCTCTCATGAGGATGTTCACGAGACCGTTGGCCGGATTGAAGACGTGCTGGAGTTTGCTGTAGGTGTTCGCTGATTTGTTGGCGTCTCCGGTGATCGCATCGGTACAAAGTCACGAGCCTTCCCGTGCTGCTCCATGGCTGATTGAAGGATGAATGTGGAAAACTCCAATGGTAGCAAATGGGAGATCTGCCCTCGTTATGTGGCGGTCGTCATACTCATGGAGTGACTTGTCGGATGATTTCGGGATCATGCCACGAAACTCATCACTCTGCTCGATATGGAGAACGACGATCTCCTTGTCTCGGCCATGTCCTTGGACAATGGTTCGTGCTG